TAAAAAAAAAAAAAAAAAAAAAAACTGAGGTCACTTTTCTGCAAGACACTGTGCTGCGGACTTTTCTCCGCCCTAGGCAAGGGAGACTTGGGCCCTGGCCCATCATCTTCTGACACGCCAGGTTATTGTTATGTAAAACCTTTTCTCCTCCTCCTCCTCCTACTCCTCTCTTTCCCCTTTTCCTCCTCCTCCTATTCCCTCTTCTCCCCCACCCCCCTTAGTGGCTCTTTTCACACAAGCAAAATTGAACAAAGCAGATTCATGGCAGCGTGAACCTCTGGGCCAACTGCCCTAGTTGCTCCTCCCTGCGTGTCTTTCTGAGCAGGTTCCTGTGATCCTGGGACCCGTGATAGGATGATGGCATGGCACACGCCAGACCCCCTCAAGCCAAGGCAAGCACGTAGGCATGAACAAGGCCAGTGGGGGTCCCAGGCAAGCCCTGCCCCAAAAGCTCTGGCCTGCTGGCCTGATGACTTTCCAGATGGGGGTCTTCATCCTTTATGTGAGCGGCAACCTGAAACTTCCACAGAACGTCAACGCTCATTTTTAGTCCACAAAGCGTCTCTTGTACAAGCATTCCTACACCTAAAAGTCCTGAGTTCCATCCCCAGTAACAGACTTTGAGATGTGCATGGAACAACACTGGTGACTGAAGCCACTGCTTGAAGCAACCCCCTGCAATGCCACCAAGAGCCCAGCACCTGTGTGGAGAGCACCAAGGCCCAGGACTCCCAGGCACCACAAAACATACAGGCAAACCCCTAAACCACACCCAAGATCACGTCAGACGGGATACCTTTCCATTCCTGGGGTAACAAGGCACCATGGTGAGGGGAGGCCTGGCCTGGAGGGGTGGCCTTAGACCCCCACCCCTTGACCCAATCCTGGGGATCTCAGCACCTACCATGCCCCCCTCCCCTCTCAGTGGCAAGGATGTGGGACCATGAGGCAGGGACCTACACCTTTCTTCTTAAATCCAAAGTGCTCGCCCCTTCTCCCCGCCTCTGCTTTTCCTCCCTTCTGGCGTGTTCCAAAAGAAGCTAAAGCACCACTCTGGAGCCTTCACTCCCTCTCTGGTTTTTGGGCAACTGAGCAGATGAATAAAACTGCTTCCTGCACTGGACTGCATTCACACCAGCTCTACTGAGAGGAGGTGGCCTTATAATCATCCCCCAGCAAGGTCTCAGCCCAATTTCCCCTGGAGGTGTGTCTGAGTCTTCCTCGAACCAAGAGAAGTCCAGAAAGGCTCTCTGGAAGCCTAGGGAGTCCTCTGGAATCTTAGGGCCTTGGGCCTCTCAGAGACTTCCCTTCAACAGAGCTGAATTTTCAGAGAAACGAGATTTTCTTCGAGGGATGTAGATTCCCCTACACCAAGAACACACAGGTTCCTGAAATGTTCCACCGGCCAACAGTCTCCCTGCTCCAGAGTCAGGCTCAGGCACTACAAATAAAACTGCCCCTTTCTCCCTGCCAGAACCCCAAGCACCCACTGGGGCTGCCAGGGCGACGGGGAAGCTACGGCGTGACCCACTGTGTCAGTCACCTTTCTGTTGCTCAGAAGTTCATTTCAGCTCAGTTTTGGAGGTTTCGGTCCATGACCAGCTGACTCCAAAACACAGACATCATGACAGAAAGGCGTGACAGAAAGCCGCTCACCGCATAGCAGCCAGGCACACACAAAACAAGAGCCAGAGAGAGAAGGGGCCCAGAACAAGAATAGTCACCCTGTGACCTACTTCCGTCAGCCAGGCCCCATCTCCTGACACCACATCCAGCCATGAACTCACCAGTGGATTCAGCCAGTCATGACTGTAGTCCCTGCATGACCCGGTCACTTTCCACAGCTCCACCTCTGAACGCGTGAGACTCTTGGGGACATTTTTGATCCAAACTATAACACCAAGGGCCCACCTGACCCTACAATGTGGGCGGACCTCAAGCTCAGACGTGTGCTTCTGGGGTCACAAAGAGGGAGAGAGCCAGGTGTCCTCAGCAATCCAAAAAGGCCAGCGTGTGCTCATGTCTTCAGCTATGAAAACCCCACTAAGTATGAGCCCTTAGAATAGGGACTATTCTGTGAGGGTGGGGTGGGTTAGGCAAGGTCAGGCAAAGTCAACCTGATACTATCAAACTGGGTCTCTTCGCAAAAACAAAAAAAATTTGTTTACATGTTCTTTTCTTCAAAGATGGAAAAGATGAGTCCATCGATTTTTTTTTTTTTTTCAATTTTCTTTGAAACCAAGATTTGACCCCAACAACCAACTTAAGCATCACGGTCTCGAGGAATCTTTTCCTCATCCTGTATCCACAGTTCAGCATGGAGCCTGGCTCAGTTTCCACAATCACTAAGTGTCTGCTGCATGGATGAGCTGCCTGTGGGCACCCGGAGTAGGGTGACTGAGGCCAGCTGTCCCTCCTGTGGGGGTGCGGCTTGCCTCGACTTCTCTGCCCTGGGGTTTGGCTTGGCTGAGCCCCATTCCAAATGGGCTCCAGGTGCCTCTCGAGTGCCCCTCCCGGGAACACTGCCTACTACCCAGGTTTCTGCTGGGAGGCCACGCCAAAGGTCTGGCCCGAGGGTCGATGATTTTTACCAGCAAAGTCTTAACAAATGACTCAAGTTAATTACATCTCAAGTCCCTTCCTCACTCTCAAGAAAAAGGCAGGAAAGGATTTGGGGCTCTCTCTAGAGGTTGCAAAATAGCCTGGGGAGGAACTGAGCCTGAGGCTAGGGCCCAAAACTAGGCTGTCCTAGCTCCAATCCACTGCAGGATCTCTCGGGAGCGCCGTCCACCCACACAGCCGGCAGAAGAGCAGAAGAGCACCCACAGAAAGGACACTCAGGAAATGAGGGAAGTTGGGGGTTTGGAGAGAAGCAGAGTTTCGGAGCAGAGATACTTCATGACTAACAGATAAAGTTTTCCTAAGGAAGAGCAGGGACTTTGAAGTTAGAGATTCATTTATGACAGAAAAGACCAAGGTTATTTAGGAAGAACCAGAAAAAGAGGGTAGAAACTCCCACTTACACAAAATCAGGCCCACTAAGGAATTTAAGCAGCCCGGAGAAGAGGTCACGGCCACAGAGGGCTACTGAAAGGTGAGTCAGGAATGGCCCCCACCTAACTTCCTGCATCTCTTCTGGCAACTTCCCTACTGTGCAAGTGAGAACAGAACAAGCAAAAAGTAATCCCACAGATCCTGGCTGAGGCTGTGCTGGGCTAGGCGGACCGATGACCTCAGACTTTAGGACAGCTTTTCTGGTCTTCCTCAAACACATTCGGTCTTTGTAAGGACAGGAATGGCCTCGTGCAAGGCCAGAAAAGGGCAAACTTGCAGCACCACCATGCCAGCCTTGGGGCAGCAGCTCTTCTCTATCCAGAAAGCAGAAGCAGGGGACAGGAGAGACTCCAGAGTAAGACGTATGAGCGTGAGGATCAGGAGCCGCAGCTCAGGTGCCTGTCACACTCCAGCAGCATTCTTAGGCACTGTACAGTGTGGCCCGCCAAGCATCACAGGCTACTTGGTGACAACGCAGGAACGTGGGTGGCAAAGACTGTGCCACCAGGAAGGGCCAAGAGCCCTAGGTCCGGGAGAGGAATGACCCTCCGGGCTGGGCAAGGGAGCCCAGGATGCCTCTGCTTTGCCTCCCTACTCTGCAGTCTCTGCACCCATGGCAGCCAGCATACCCTGGCGCTGAAGCAGGGTTTCGAGGTGAGTGGCATTCCTAGGGGCAATGTGCCACTAAGAGGGGCACTGGGGCAGCAGTCAGGCTCACTTCCACCCCACACAGCAGTCGCCTGTCACCACCAAACGTTACCCCGAAATGAATCACGACTATGAAAGCATGGGCTGACATCTTCACCTTTATTTTTTAAAATCTTATTCAAAATACTAAATAATACAATCTCAGATATGAAAAAATTACTGCACTAGAACAGTTGGGGTGTATTTCTGCTGCGCCCCCTTCCTCCTCGGCTGGGATGCGGAGTGCTGACACTGCTTCTGCCATCTCCACGCACCCAGGCCAGATGGCCACCCAGCCTTGTTTGCACACAAGGGTAGAGGTCACTCCTAAAAGGTTGTGGCCATACCTGAAAGTCAGCCACGGTTCAAATCACGTATTTACATACTTATCAGTTCCTTCTGACAGAAAGACAGGCTAACATAAAATACAGTAAGTAATTTCCAGTTGCTGTAAAAAACAAAAAAGAAAATATAAGTCCGGGGGGGAAGTCAGTGTACACATGTAACCTTTATGTATACAAACCACTTCATTCAGGTATAACTTTAATCCCAAAGACCTAAATTCAGTATCATTCAAGTGATAACGTCCCCTAAGATCTATTCAAATTTACTTCACAATAAAAAACAAAATCAACAAATACAATAGAACTTTTTTTCTCTGAGACAGGGTCTCGCTACGTAGTTCAGGCTGGGCTTGAATTCACTGTTAGGCCCAGATTGGTCTTGTACAGTGATCCCCCCTGCCTCAGCCTCCCAAGTGCTGGGATTGCAGGCATGTGCCACCACGCCCAGCAAATCTGATACAGTTTTAAACTCTGCCCACTGCCTAAAAACTTGGAGGAAGCTGTGCTACATTCAACTGCTAACTAAAAGTAACTGTGATGTTTCATATTTTACCACAGCTTCTACCTTCTATCTCTAAACTGAATTCAGCAATCAAACGAAACAATGGTGTCTATATAACATTTTATCTATGCTCAGTGCAAACTGTAGTCTTTTTCCCATAATTTCTAGACACATTTAATGTGTTACCTAAAATTGTGGGTCAAACAGACTGATACCATTATCTTAAATCGTGTTTTAGTTGTTGCCTGAAAATATTCAGTATCCTTAAGAGAACAAAATGTTACTTAAATGTGATGTATTATTACATCTATCCTTGTACATTACAGTTGGTGACCACCAAGAAATGTATATTAAAAAATTAGCATTTGGATGGCAGAGTGAATCTAAAAAAGTGGTACTAGATATGTTCAAATTTAGTTACAAGCTTCGGCTCTTGTAAAAGTACTATAATTCCAGAAGTAGTAGAAGAAATGAAAAATAATAAAAACTAACAGTATAAATATAAGGTAACACTTATATTTGGGACACCTGTGTGAATCAACTCTAAAAGTGCAGATAAAAAATTATATACTCCTGATTGTGACATTTAATTTCCAAAGCACCAAGGCAAAAGAGAGATGCGCCTCTCGCTTGAGTACCAACTGCTATGGCAAACACCCGCACGGCATCATATAAAAAGTCAAGCAAATAAAATTACATAATAAGCAAACTCAAATCACAGTGCTTTAAAAAATATAATCATTGGTAATCTTCAGAGAAGGCATCGCCTCGTGAACGTTCTGGTCTAGACGATGATATTCCACTGTTTTAGAACAAAGGCCATCACGCCATTTTCTGCTTTGAACTAGGAGGAAAATCTGGAATAAAACAAAATGAGTTAGACATGCAAAACAGAAAACAGGACACGGTGAAAATTTTTATAACAAATGAAATAACTTTCTCCTGGGCTCCCAAACACAAATATTACACATCATCAGCAACAAAAGGCTATTCTGCCTTCTACCCAGTAAACACGCCCCAACAGCACACCCTAACGCCAACGCTAGGGTCCTCACGAAGGTGGACTCCAGGGCTCTGTCTTCAGAGCGGAGTGAGGACCCTGGGCATACCCGCTTCATGGGTCCCAGAGGACTTCCGGGCCACACCAAACACCGGGATCCAATATCGTTGGCATTCAAATTCTGTCTACCTCAAACCCTTACAGAGCCAGGGACAAGCCGGTAATGACCAAAAAACCAAAGGGCCTATCTGTCTGCCATCTTCTACTAATGGGTTCACTGATTTCTCAAAGTTGGAAGGCATTTGGATTTGTTTTTTGGTATCAAGGATCGAACTCGGGTCCTTGCGCTTGCAAGGCAGGTGGTGTCATCACTGAGCTAAACCCTCAGCCCAGTATTTTTAAAATAAGTGGTCCATTTTGCCACTTCTTGAGCAAAAAAAAAAAAAAAAAATCAAGGTTTGAAGAAGAACATGTTATAAAGAATCATAAAGCAAGTTCCAAGAAAGCCAAGAACTAAGATTTCCTTTTGTTTTTGGTTTGAAACAGGGTCTCACTATGTAGTTCATACTGGCCTTGAACTCATGGCAATCCTCCTGCCTCAGCCTCCTGAGTGCTGGGATTACAGACGTGTGCCATCACGCCCAGTAAGATTTCCTTAAGTATTAAAAAGGAAATAGTGTACGTGATCCCCCGTAAATATTCTGAAAGGCTTAACTCTGGCTGTGGGCTACAGGGCACAGGGACGAACCCTCACACTAAATGACCAGCCATGCTCTTTATGTCTCCTTTGCTTCATACAGCCCAGCAAAATAATTCCCACTCAGAAATAAATGTTCATAACATTTTCTGAGTCAAAAATTGGAAATCATCTAAATGTCCAAGAGGAAACCAATCATGCAGGTTTTAAGCCACGTTTTTAAAAAATATTGATATTATAGCAAATGTTCATGATTTCTTATATAAAAATATATGGAATATGCTAAAAAAGGTAATAATGCTCCCTTGGTAGTAGCTTAAATTTTCTTTTCTAAACTCTTACATTTTCTGAATTCTCTAAAATAATCATGCAATCCTTGGGGCACACACTCACAGTCCCAGCACTTTGGGAAGCTGAGGCAGGAGAGTTAAACTCCAGCCCAGTCAGGGCAACTTAGCAACTTAGTAAGACCCTGTCTCAAAATTTAAAAGAGGAAGGGATCAGTGTGAAGGCCCAGGGTTCAATACAGAGCACTTTCACCAAAAAAAAAAAAAAAAAAAAAAAAAAAAAAAAA